CTCCCTCCCCGCCGCACACACACACACACACACGCGCGCGCGCGCGCGCGCGCGCGCGTACATGCGCGTCCACACACGTATCCACACACGCATCCACGCTCACATATACACGCACGTGCACATATACGTACGCGCATGGACACACGTTTGCGTGTACACGTGCTACTCACACGTGCCGGCGCGGGCTACACCGACGCATAGATTGCATACTTATGTCGGCACTGTGCACATAAAGTTAGGGGGGCGCGCGCTCTCCTTCGCTGCCGCACAAGAATAAGAAACACGGTAGCATACATAAACAAGAAGGTTGGGGATGCAGCAATTTAAAACGTACCCCGGAATTCCTCCCAGCGGAGTCGTAGAGCGGCCCTCCGTATTACGAATTCCTCCCCCCGCCCTGCCGGTGTCCTCCTGCATCTTACTGGGAATTTCGGTCGTATAAAGTGGTACTATGGGCGCGAGAAGTCGTGTATTAGCGGATATATCTGTTCGACGATCGCTACCTGAGATCCCCCGTCGTGGATTTCGATGACGTGTAATCGGTCGTACACGCTCGTACACGGTCGTACACGAGAGGGTTTCTCGCGCAATATGGGATAGTGTGTCTCCGCGAGTATGGATAGTAGCTTTGAACAAATTTACTTTCTCTCAGAAAACCGTCGGAATCGGAAACGTCGAGCGAGACGTTAATCGTAGTCCGCTTAGACAGCGGCACTTTACTTCTCTTGTGATTTCTCTAAACGATCCTTTCAACGTGAACTTGAAACGATCGTTATTTTTTTTCGAGCAAGCATACCTAGATAATCGATTCACCATTGAGACACGACGTAGAACGTTTCCGATATAACGTTAGATGTAATGTTACTTAACAGAATAATGTTACTTAACAGTAAGAAAGGTGCATATATTTCTTAGTGAAATTTTTACGTGAAACTTTATAAATATTCATAAATGACGCACAAAGTAGCGCAACGCCGTACACGTGGGACTGAACATTTCGCAGGATAGCGTTCACATGGTACGTGGAATGCAGCAGTACTGAAAAAACGAGAAATACAATATTTCATAGAGATATTACGCTTATTATACGCAAAAAATGTACGATCTTTAAACAACTTCAATTTATAATCGTTGAACAGATGCCTTACTTTCATATGGACAACAATTATGCCTATAACGATCAATTTCTGCTTTTATTTCTCTAAATAAAAGCAGGTTGGAGCAACGAAGTTGAAAATTTATTCTCTTGTGAAAAACGCTACAAGTACCATTTGTGCACAATACAAATTTAAATGGTACATAGCAAATATATTTGTGAAAAGATTAATATGTGAGAATTAATATGTCAAGAGTAATTAGCAAATCCCAAGTTTTGTTTCTAAGACCGTTTATCGGAGCGAAATTTGAAATGTAGAAAGAGAAACGTTTGAATTTACTTAAATGTACAAATTGCACATGAGATATTATACCATGAATTTTTCCGTGTACTTTTCCGATATCTTCTATACAAGCTGCTGACGTAGCCATTGACGTGACACAGGGGGTGGGTGGGTCTTAATCATAGCGTTCGCAAAACTTGACCGAACAATGTCGGCACACGAATCCTTTCACGATATTACCTATTATAGAGATCAGCGTTGGTATCAACGCGAATAAGTCAAATAACGTTAACAATGGAGAATTTCAAGTTACTTTAGCGTTGCGAATCGAGCGATTGAGTGTTTGAACGGCGGTGTC